ATCAGGGCACTGGAGGGGGGGAAGCTCTGGCCTTAATTAGCAGCATGTTGGACTCTTCTTCTTTCAGGCTCCACTTAGTTTTCAGGAAGCTTCTGGTCAGGTTCAAAGCAGAGCCAGCCCCTGTCTGCCCTGCAAGGCTGCCTGATTGTCCCCCCCTTCCCCCCAGGCTAGGAGGACCAAAGTGATTTCTGCTGGAGCCGATTCCAGGGCATGGCTCGGAATGTAGTGCCTGGGCCACCACCAGGAACTGCTCCCTCCATCCCTGGTGGTTTCCCTTATCTCTGAGTGTTTGCCGGAGGATTAAAGCAGGAAAGAAGAGATTAGCACCTCCAGGCATATGGCAAAGCAGAATGGGACATGCTGACATTTTTGTATGGGGCTGCAAGACATGTTCTTCCCCTTACTCCTAATTCCTGGTCCTTCCCAGGAGCATGGGGACTTTTAAACCCAGGGGGACCTCTGCTGGGTGTAACTAAGAAACATTCATTGATTCTGATTGTGTGGGTGGGTGTTAGGAGGGAAGCCACAAAGCCTTCCCGGCATGGAATTTGTAATCCCCACACATGCGAATTGACTGTGGTGACTTTTTTCCACCTCTGAACAGTGCCAATTGCTAAGAGAAAACAGTTCTCACGGCTTGTTCCTTATAGTTTTCCTTCCCCAAGCATGGCTCTCTAACAGGCACCCCTTCGTCAGGCTGGTCACGTGAGTTGTGGGAATTGCGGGCCATGGCCTTGAAGGGTGTATCCAGCCTGTCTTCTTAACAACAAACTGTAATTCTCCCCATATTAAGGACTGTCAGCGTAGTACCCGTCCCAGCTGTTTGGAAATGGTGCAAGTGTAGCTTTCTTCTGGAATTTGCTCTTGTATTGAACTGTTCATGTGAAATTCCATGGCCGCTTTTCCTCTGTGGGGAAGCCTTCCTCCGGAGCAACCCTTCGACTTTGGCCGGAGTCTGCCTGGAAGGGGATATTCCTTTTGCAGCAAAGCTTGCATCTGGATGCATGGCTCGGAGAATTATTTATATCGTCAGTGCTGTTTTGAAGCTCACGCTGGCGTGATACCTCTCTTCTCTAGGGGGAATGAGCAGAGAACACGTTGGCTTAGGAGAACGTTCTGCCGCCCCCAATGAAAAATTTCTCCCCATGGCTTGGGGTAGGAGGAAGTAACCTTAGACCCATCCCTTGACACATCTGAGGGTCATTGATTTTTCAAGCTAGGGCCCACCCTAAGGTAAAACATATTGGCTTTGTCCACTCAGCAGTCTCAGATATCAAAGCTTTGGCTTCCGGGCTCTGCCACGGCTGGTTTCCGTACTGCATGGAAAGCATGAAGCTTGACGGTTTGATTGGGGATCTGTGCTGCACCATTGAAAGCAGAGAGTGGCGTTGGGCTATTTATTCCCCGGGAGCCATCCAGCGCGTCTGTTTTGTTCCGGTGGGAGTCCGTCGAGCCCCTGGAACAAAGGCACTTTCTGAAAACCTGGTACGAACGCACCACTCCACAGCCCAGAACAGTCTCTGAAGAGCCTGTCTCTCTCCCTGGGTTTTCCTGGGCCTGAATTTTTTAGGCAGCAAATTCTTAAAATGTGACAAAATAGACTTTCCTTCTGTGCCTCTGCCCCCCATAA